ATCAGGGGCCTGCCGGCAGGGGCCACGGAGGGGCTGGGGGGCAACGGCAGGAACAGAACCGCGGCTGTGAGAAAGGCCTAAAGGGAAAAAGAGAATTGCACCTGCAGGAGAAGAAAGCTCCAGGTTAGAGGGTTTTTTCCAGGTATGTTGAGATGCTTCTCCCTTAGAAACCCCTTTGGTCATCGGGAAAACGTTCTCAGCTGTAGACCAGGAACCTACAGCTGTGCTTTCCACCACCACCTCGGGTGGTTTGTGCATCTCGGCTGATCAGCGACCCCGTCTCACCCTGCGCAGCTACGGCCGTCTCCCCAAGGCACCTCCGTATTCGTAACAGTGACTCTGTGATAAAGCAGCTCATAAACTGCATCCTGATACCCAGCTGTCTCCCTGCAGGTTTAATCCTCATCCAACGATCTACAGGTAACTGCAGGAAAACCTACGTGTTAGAGGGGGGTGCAGGGCTCCTGGGCTCTCGCCTCCAATCTCTTAGAGGATGGAGAGGGACCATTTAGCTGAGCTTTTGGTGTTTGTTCTTACATTTATAGGGAAGAAAAATATTGAGCAAAATGTGCTAAGGACAACAGCAGGACTCAGCGTGGCAAGTTTGGTTTCAGCAGAACTCATCTGTACAGAACTGAGGATGAAGGTTCCTAAATACGAGATTTGGTCCCTGTCAGGTTGTGGTTTTATTTCTAGCAGGGAAGAAACACACGTGCCCCAGTGTGAGGATGCTCACTTTACTGCCAGGAACACGTACATCGAGCTTGCATGGCCCTCATGTAACTAAGAAAAACAGGCCCCTGCATATTCAGGTCAATGACAAGGATCTGCAACATCACTTAAAAGTTATTGAAAGCCAAAACATTGGTAATGATCCTGTTACCATACACCAAATTGAACACTGACATCAATACAATCTCTATCCTACTATGCGCTAAACCTCACAGGGTTCAGATTCTTACTCTATTGCAGATTAAACTTTAATACCCCACACTGATTTTACTTCTATATATAAATCCTGGGTCACTTCTCAGCTAAGAGAAGAGTTCACCTATCCAGACACTGATTATTCATTATTTACAGTTTGAGATACTGAGCTATAAGAAAGCACTGTCCTTTTAGTAAATTGTTTAGAATTGCACCAAAGTCATTACAGTAGAAAAAGGTAGCTAGATACTTACTCAAGAGGCTGAGCCTTCAAAAAACCCCGCAATATTTCAAAGGAAAACACTATCAAGCACATGCACTCTAGAACAAGCTTTACCTGTCACGGGATCAGCAAAACTGGAGGCATTATGCCACACCAAGATCAGTTTAGCCCTTGATTTTAGATACGGACAGCGCTGCTGAAGGTTTGTTAAACTCTCCTGGGAGGCCACACACCGACCCCGGCTGTTCTGCTACAGCACAGGCACATCAGGAAACAGGCAAGTTGGCTTCTTTTCCAATAGAAACACAAGGCAAAAGTTTAATGGTTCTCAAACAGACTACAACAAAGGCTGCAGGGAAAAACATTTTATTTCCAAGCAGATTACAAAGAGCAGAGAATATAAGAGTAAAATTAAATTAAAAAAATAGTTGAGTGCATCTCTTTAAAATGATTTGTAGTGTGAGTTACTCACGGGGCAAAGCTACTGGAGAGTTCTGAAGGTCACTTTGCAGGATGCCAATCACATGTGCTGTTTAGACCAGGGTCAACACGGGAGGGACAGACGAGACGTTTTTGCATATAGGCTGCACACTCATTATCAAGCGAGGCTCTGGGCTGCAACTGGACCCTGCCTTTCTGAGGCACCCCCTCCACCTTGCTCTCTCAGTTCCCTCTTGAGCTCTAGACCCAGTTTATTGCTGCTGTAAGTGGGGTCAGTCCGCCTCAGCACCCCGACGGGCTCGGACGTGGAGGAGCGGGCGCGCTGCGCTGCCATGCGCGGGGTTACGAGGGAAGGGGACCGCGGGGCTGCGAGCGGAGCCCCGGCCGCACGGCCAGGGGGAGGCGGCAGGTCGGGGACAGCCACTGCTTCAGCGTGTCACTAAGACTCCCCGAAGAAGCCTGGAGATGCTTCTTCAGGTGGGAAGATGCTCGAGTTAGCACTGCCAGCAGTTCGGAAGGGATTTTTTTTTTCTCCTATGCACTGGCACCATTGAAATGGAAAAGGCTAAAACAGTAGGATAAGGTGCATTCCTTGTAGTAAAGAGAAGAGCAGCTCCAGCAAGAAAGTGGGGAGAAAAGCCCCACATAGGGTGGAAGACAGTTTATATCCCATTTTAACAGTGGTTGAAGAGTCCAAACACTAATTGCAAGTCAGTTGCCATTAAACTTGGATGACAGCGCAGTTTGGTTAGACAGTGCAGAGCCAGTTAGTGTCTAGCAGCACTCAGCCAGAGGAGGAAGAGGATGAGAAAGTACCGTATCAGGAAGCCTTCCACCCCAGCGTATGCTCACAGGGCTCTCTTCTACCACCTTGGGATCTGTTCTTATCGCTGCATAGATGGCCTCATCCATTCCAAACACACCAAGGCAGATGGTTGCCTTTATGTAGCTCAGGACAAGACTGCCTCAATTTCTGCCCAAAGAGCCACCGTGTAGAAGAGATCTCGTTTAGGGATTTTTTTCCCACTGTTCCAAAGCAAAACAGTGTAGAAATTACTTCAGCCCTTGTTTCCTATCTAAAACCCAGGAGGTGTCTAGGGTGAAGTAGCCAACAGAGGACAGCCCTGTTAAGTCACATATAGACTGTTCCCTTCACTCACCGCTCCGGACGGGAGCGGAGAGCGGCTCTCTAGTCTGCTCTCCTGCTTCAGCCATTCCCACTTCAAGAAAATGCTTGAACCGTCAGAAGGAAATGGAAATCTAATGGTGCCGCGGACAAGGGTGCAAGAGGCTACGAGTTCCTGCAGGAAAGCAACGCTGTTAGTGGCTAGGGACAGGACAGCACACAAGGCTAAGGTCAGAATGTGAGATGCTTTACAACAGTCCGTCATGCTCCGCTTTCCACAGCTCCTTCCACACCACAGAGACAAGTTGGGCACAGCTCAAAACCAACAACACAGGGTCTCTAGTTTGCCTCTTCTCAGCTTTACTCCAGAGATTGATGCATTTTCAGCCTCTGTCTCATACAAGGCAAAGGGCACGGAGAGTTCTTGTTTGATATATACACGCGTACAACAGCTAGCGATTTGGCACTCTTGGGGCCTAGGTGGGACGCCCTTTAAGCAGCAGTCAAACAAGCTGGTTATAGGAAAGTGTTAAAAAGCTATTTTACATGTTTGACTGGGAACATTTCCCAGAACTTGGACAGCAACCCTAAGCCACAGCACTCTTCTGTGCTACTCTGTGCACGTCTTCCTATGAGTCCCTAAAAGGGAATAGATCATGTTCTTCACTATCAAAGAACATAGTATTTATATTCTAGAAATACTGTACCTTTTCCATTAGCTCCAGAGAGCCAGACTAGAAGCCATATCCAGAAAAAAGAAAAAAAAAATCCTTAAGTCACAGTATATCGATTGTCTCTAAAAATAGGGAATGAAACTAACCGTGGACATTTTGATGAGACAGTACAAAACAGTACCCAGTCCACTTTCAAGTCACTGAATTCATCTCCTATATATCACAGGAGGACGAGGAAGCAATGGAAACAGTTCGTCAGGACAACATCAATCATTAAGGGACCTCTGCGGCTCACTATGTGTCTAGCTCCCCCACTCTTAAAAGCTCTACTCCTCGAGATGAAGCAGCATTCTTCCCCTTCTAATATCGTAGATCACTTTGTCGTTAAAAGTGAAGAGCTCAGTCTATATTTTCTGGTGAATTTTTGCACAATGGAACTTTGTTTCTCTGCCATCCTCTTCTGCTCAGCCCTAACCCCAAACTGCCCTAATGTTCTGTCCAGGTTCAAGCATAAGAGGTGACTACCACGGCCACCAAAGGAGGTGACTTGCACACTCGGTGCCTGGCAGATGGGTTTAAGAGCCGCTGCGTTTCTCAGGGAGCTGGACGGAGCAGCAGGCTCACCCCGGAGCCAGCTCCGCACGCAGGACTGCGGAGCACACAGGGACAGGTGCTTAGTCTGCACTTTACCCCATCTCTGTTCAGGAGACAGGACAAACTGCTCAAAAGAATGGGAAATCCGCTCTGTGCAGACCTGCCTGGCATCCTGAGCAACAAGCGCACTCAGCTGCTTGGAGCTGCCTCCTAACCACACCCTTGAGTATTTAGGGCCAGAAACTACATTTCAGCCACTAAAATATGGAGAAGGATTATGGAATTTTTGCAGCTTAAGAAGTATTACTGTTCCTGACGTCACCCTACCAGGAGGGGAGGGATGGCTCCTTGCAGCTGATCTGAGGGGAGGCTACGTTGCCAGCACTGCACAGCACTTAGCCCTGTCCTCTCAACATACCCACTGCGACGTGGGTACCAACCCGACACTATTTTTTCTCCCCATAACTGAGGTGGGAAACCAAGCTAGAAGTTTGCTTTAGAGTGGAGGTATTGGCAAGCTCGTTGCTCCCTTACCTTTGTGCACTTATTAGAGCACAGTCGTAGGAAGGGATAAAACTGCTCCTCTTCACAACCAACTTACGCATCTGCTTCCTCACAAACACCAAGGTCAACGTGAAGCCCCGCAGGCTTGAGGTCTCTCCAGGCCCACACTCTCCTACACTGATTAGGAGCACAGAGGCAGGCAGCACTGTGGCTACTCCCAGAGTCGAGGTCTAACCTAACCTACGCAGAGATTTACACCGCACGCAGCAACCAGGCAGGGCAGACCCTCCTTCACGATACACACAGGTGCTGGTCAAGAGAAGCTTCAAAAAAGTTGCTTGCCTGTACACAAGTTTAAGTTCTTTTACTGTAGTATATATATTTTTATATATATATATATATATTTTGGAATAGGGGAGGGACATAGGAGATGGATAAGCAGGGAAGACAAGTTCAAGAAGCAGAGTCACCTCTCCACATCCAAGAGGCTGGTGGCACAAACAACAAGCCTGGCTAGAGTGCCCTCCCATTTCAAGCACAACTGGCTACCTGCTGGCCTCAAAAGAGCAGACTATTTGTTAATGATATAAAATACAGCAACCGTTTAAGATGCAGCAAGGCTGTAAGGGTTGGAGTTTATGATCATGAACAATGCCTGAAGCTACGTAGCTGTGTTAAAAACCGTGAAAAAGCTCTCACATGGCAGGAGTGAGCCACGTGCTGCTCCTGGCAGGCCTTTTCCCCCCTAACGCCCCTCCACCATGCAGCTAGTGCAGTGCATTTGAAGAGGAGGAGGATTTACCTAGGAGTGAAGTCTCACACGCTGGCCACAGAACACCAGGGCAGACCGAGGGCCTGGGCTGGTACCACAGATGTCACATTCCTAGCCTGACACTAAGCTTCCATCAGCAAGCAGACATCCAGGTCCGTCAACAGAAGTTAATCCCCTTCTACCTTCCTAATTTGCAGGGGTGAAAAGTCCAGTGGACTCAAGCTGGAAAGCACAAACAGGGATGAAAACAACCAGATTGCATACTGATCTTTGTATAATGCCCCCCCACCCTCACAGCTCACTCTTCCCCAAATAAAGACACATTGTTCAATGGCATGTTGAAAAGACGTGCTCGTCATTCTTAATAAACAACTAGAGTAAGAATACATAAGAGAAACAGGGTGGTATCTTTATATGATACACAAGTGTATGTTACAAGAATTCCATCAGGCACAGGAGCCTCAAGGTTTAAGGCCTCAATGTCAGGCCAAAAAAAGA